TCTACACCTCTCTTCTAAAATGCCTCCTACTTTTAGCCCTAAATTTGGATAAGTAGTTTCTTTTCCTGTTCCCACCATGCATCCTCCAAACACATCTTGTCCACTTCCTACTTCCTCGATCCTATTTGCATGAAGTTCATGACCAACCAACATCCTCATATTGTCTAATATTGTTGAAGTTTCCTTCCCTTTAGATATTGCCCCTTTTTATATGTGCTATTACATCCATCTCTGCTGAAAAAAAACGATCATACTGTCCTTGAAAATTACAGCTGTATCTCCAATCTCCATCTCCATTCCAAAGTCCTTGAACATGTCAATTCCTAAATTTTTGCTAATCATTCCTATGTAAACACCTCATCTTTTTACACGTCTTTAATTTTGATTGCACACTGAAAATGGAAAAGGACTGTTTTAAAAAGGAGGATTACTGCACTTTTTAAATGGAAGTTACCCACACTCATTTTAAGTGTTGTTTACCCTGCTGTTTCTTGAAACAGTGGGGGAGCTTTAATTGTAGACAAGCTAGAACCAGGGAGTGTATACAAAAGGAGATTTAGCTGGCAACAAATAACATTGTTCCATAGAATGGTGACCAGTTATGGATGACAACGGCCTTCTGTCTGCCAACAACTATGTGATTGTGAATAAATCGATTCATTATTGTTTACCTCTAGATGGAATCGATTTATTTGTCTGTGTTTTGTGTCAACCTGGGTTTAAAAAGACATGTAGATTAGAAATTGTGCATACTTTTATAAAATGTTTAACTTTTGTGATGGTCCAGGAATATTTGGACTTGATTTCCAGCACATTACCTCACTGAGATGTGACACCCATAACTCCATGTTTGAACCCCTTCAGTCAGTTTTCAGCCCTGCCAAAGTATCAAAATGGCTCTTATCAAAGTCACAAGTTAAATTCTGTATTAAAGTGACAAAGTTAATCAATCCCTGCTTATCTTTCCTAGCTTGGCTTTCACCTTCTGGTTGACCATATTATCTCTTCCAATGCCATTCCACTTTCATCTGGATGGGTTGGACAGAACTTGTCTGGTTGCATTCTCAGCTAATTAATTGTAGCCAGATTATCACTTGCAATTGATTTTCCTCCTGCTCTTGCACTATTACCTGTGGTGTTCCCAAGATTCTATCCTTAGCCCCCTCCTATTTCTCCTATACATGCTGTGCCTTGGCAACCTCATCCAAAAACAGCATCAGTTTTCACATGAATGCTGATAATATCCAGTTCTGCCTCACACTATCTCACTTGACTCCTCCACTGTTGTTAAACTGTCAGACTGATAATCTGACATTCAGTACTGGATGAGTAGAAATTTCCTCCAGTTAAACGTGGGAAGGCTGAAATCTCTCTACAACAGAAATTGGAGGAGTGCACTATCTTTCTTTTGTTACTCCACTCCACTGGTCAGAACAAATTAAATGCCTTGCCCAGTTAGTAAAGCGGCCAGTTGTACACTTTGTCTACATAGTTCAGAACAGAAAGGTTCTTAAAGCAGGTTTCTATATTTAACAACAAAACTACTCATTTATTTTAGAAAAACAAAACTTATTCAACAAAGGTGAAAAACTGATTAACCGACAGTTTGAAATATGAAAGTATAAATATTTATACTTCTAAGTAACCACAGCGCACACCTACACACACACGCGCACCACACACACGCAAAAGAAAAAAAATCTTATTCTGCCGTGTCTAACTTTAAAAAAAACACTTTGGCCAAATATAGTAGTTACTTCTTGTGAGTATAAGCTTAACGTGAAATATTCCACATTACCTACAGTTTGATATTCTTGAACACATATACAGGTCACTAGACACAGACATTTGTCACTGGGATCTTCAGACACAGTTCATTCAGGAGATATCAAGAGGATGTCCTTGTGAAGCCTTCCAAGGAGAATAGCTGTTTCACTTTTTCAGTTTTCACATGGATTCTGAAGAAGGTTTCTCAGAAAGGTGGAAAAGCCTGAGCTCGGGTACAGGAGCGGAGAGGGGGTCTCTGGCTATACTCCATCTGAACTTCAAAATAGCCACACATTTTTAGGCCATATACTCATACATGTGGACTTCCAGTAAGAGCAAGCAGTTAGCTACAGATTTGTGGCTTCCAGCAAGTATCTTTCAAAAAATATAATCCCAGTGTCTCTTCAATGACATTAAGAAAAATGAACAAATTTTCTAAATCCTTCAGACATGCATCCTCAAAAAATACCAATAATGGAAATTCCTTCATAACATCAGCTTTTGACTCTATCCTTTTCCTTGGCACTGTCTGATAATAAATTAAACTGTCCTTATACATGGTCTCATATCTTACCCCCAAATCAGCTTCTAACTATAAACTGGAGCTCACTAGAACTGATTATGTCCATCTCCGTAATGTCACAGAGCCTTCAACAGTAGGTGTCAATGCTGAGGGCAGGCACCAAGTAGGACAGCTTGGACAATTGAGCAGACCTATTTGGAGGCAAAGGTGCCTTTGTCAAAAAGAGCATTCATCGAGGTGGACAAAGCATTTCTTCAAACAGATCTGATCTACAGGTTTATTTCCATGTAAATAGTCTAGTGGGATCTTCCCTGAACAACATAGGCAATGGTGAGGAATTTGTAAGAATCATATGAGAGGTCAAGTGAGGCCTTTCTCAATGCCAGAAGCAACTAGTTGTATTTTCCAACTAAGTTCAAGACAAGATTCTTGTCAGAGAGCAGTGACAAGTGTATAAATAGGGATTATCACTCATTATTATCCTCATTATTGCCTAATCTCACCTCATTATTTACAAGCTCCCATTCTATCACCTGCAGGATAGCAAATAGATGCTAAGGATTCTCGACTTGAAAGTCAGAACAGGCACCTGGCAAAACCTGCTTGCCACTTGCTCGTCTGGACCTCCATCTTGGATACCTGGCCCCGATGCCTTGGCCATTCTCCATGGGCAACAGCCTCCTGCACCTCATGTCCACAGACACCACCATCCTAGAGTCAACCCTGTGAGCCCAATGCAACCAGTCTGAGAAGTCGCAGGAATACAATCGGGGAATTGTACAGATATGAATCAGGCAACTGGTCACTCATCATGTGAAGCAATATGCCTGAGTCACTGAAAGGGGTGGGCCACAGTCAGCCTAGGAGTCCGTCTACTTAAAGTCAAGAGGGTTATCAGGTGGCCAACATTGTGGAAGTGAGGCTTAATCATGGGGATTGATGGCAGAATCTTTGAATGAGAAGATTACAATATTGAAGTGGGGGGCAACTGAATATAAATTAGGGGCAAGACTATAGAGGATGGGGAAAAAGGATCACATGAGAAGGAGTATCATGGACAATAGGTAGCACCCTGACCTCCAGGGGGAAAGTGCTCTAACACACCTGGCATGTTCACTTGATAGTCCTAGGGCTGGGCAAATGGGAATGGAGGGGAGGCAGGAGATGAGGGAGGAATGAAGTGGGCACTTGCAGATTCTGATAGATTGGGTGGGGATGTGGGGACATGTGAAGCCTATGGAGTTGACGGGGAGGTCTATCAGGAAGGCAGTGTTAGGAGGGGTGGATTCACCAACTCTGAGGGGCAGAGCCTGAAACTCATAGTCTGAGGAGCGGCAAATGTTGTCTTCCATCATCCTGTAGATAGGAAGTATGCAATGGAGAGG